CAGAGGCTTGTGGTTATAAGGTCCTAAGTACAAGACACATTACATTCCTAGTTGGAAAGTCCCACTGTTCTCTTGTGACTTGTGGGAAACTTCCTGTGTTGGGGCAAGAATATGCACTGAGAATCACTTCTTAATCTAGCACACACATTTTGGAGGGCTCAGGACCCAGGGCACTGTTTAGTCCACATTCCCAGGAGAAGCATCTCTCTCAGGCATGTTTCTACCTTTGACTTCCAGGGAGAGATGCCACCTTATTGTGTTCTTTTCTTCAGTTTTAGGAAAAGGTTCAATATCCAGGTGACACAGGCAGACATCTCCTGTTGTCAGGGTCACATTTGTGAACCATCTATTTGATTCCTTGGGGAAGAAACTTGATGAGAGTTAACCCTACTCCTGACTGTGCCATTTGTATCCCCTTTTGCATGTCTTTGTTCTTCCATTAAATTTGTGGGGGGCTATGTAAGACTTTACAATGGCTTTTCCTCCTTTGAACTGCTTTGCCAGAAATCTTCAGAGCAGAATATATAACACTACATTATACCCAAATTCTGGCCATTTCTCTAATATCCAGAAGATTCATATGTCCTTCCCTTATTGTTCTATTATGAAAACAAATAAGTTAATACACAGATGTGAGTTCTGCCTCCTGGGACTTTTGCAAGCTGTGAGAAGTATCTCGCTTTTCCATTTGGGCAATAATCTGCTTTCTTTGTGCATTTCTTTCAAGTAAAATCCTGGTTTTGCTCTGGCAAGGTCTTCATTGGAAAAATATGGAGGAAAGAATTTTGGCAGAAAAATTACAATTATAAATATCTCTTAAACTGCCCCTGCCATGCTCTGATTAGCACACCAAGTATTTTTAGTTTACTAGGGGTGAAATTATGCTGTGTCAGGTGGAAGTCACTGCCAAGAGTGCAAGATAGACATTTAATCTACCCCATGCACATCCCCGGCGCCCATGAGTACTTATTGTGAGAGGAGTTGCTATAAAACTATCTTGGAGAGTTTCTGAAAGCAAATCTGGGACTGACTTGCAATGATGTCTCCACAGTCCTATGGAGGCTATGTTTCATCACTGGCCCTTGCTTCAGGAACCGGTCTTTTCAAATGTGGGATAGCAGTGGCTCCTGTCTCCAGCTGGGAATATTACGGTATGGAAACATTTCATAAATGTTGCTGCGAAAACATTTAACACATAATTACTCTATATTTGAGGTTGCTAGGAAAACAAATTATGCAGTAAAATTCACCCCAGCTTCACTGGGGAAAATATAATCTATAAACAAGGTTGTTTATATGATTCATTATAATCATGTTGCAGCAATCAAAGAAATCTTAAGAATGAGGAAGGACTCTTCTAAAACCCAGTATGTTAGTCTCTCCCCCAACACCCTGTGCCTCCTGCTAAACCAAACCTTTAGAACCAGAGCCAGCTCTTTGTTTTCGCAGGCACACAGGTGCAGCAGGTCTGGCTTTTAAGCACATTGTATGCAAAGTTAGGCAAAGCCACTGCTATTCACCTCCACACCACAGTTTGCAGCTGCCAGTTCCTTTGCTCCAGAAATCAAAACAAAACAAACCAAAATTTGTTGAGAAGTACACCTCCCGTGTGTGCCTATTTTTATGATTAACATTAACGCAGGATGATCAGTCGGAATTAACTCTAATAATTGAACAAAAATTAGCTTTCATCAGATCCTCGTCCCTGTGCTGGGATAGAAATGCAGCCACTATAACTTGGAGGGAATCTTCATTCAGAAAAAAAAAAAGTGTGTGTGTGTGTGTGTGTGTGTGTGTGTGTGTGTGTTGGGAGAGGAGGATTTGGGGGACACAGTTCCACCCCACATTAAGACACCAATAAAAGTACTAGAGGCAGCTGCATTTGTGATTTCTTTTAAAATATAATGAGGTCATCCCATAAGGTCCTCCCTAGCTCAACATTTCCACCCCCACCCCGCCCCCACTGAAGGGCTTTGGGTAGAAGAGAAAAAACTTAAGAGCATCCTTTCTCGTGTTAGCTGTTCCTGTTTCCTCCTTTGCTTCGCCAGCCCTACTGAGGCAAATTGCAGAGCAAATGACTTGGGTGGAGCATTACAGTAAAGGAAAGCAAGAACCTTCCTCAGCAGCTCCACAGGGGAAAGTGGTGAGCAGTTCTCAAACTGAGGGGTCTTGCTGGTTAGTGAAATGAACCATTTCACATGCAAACAACATGTTCTTACATGTTTTACAGCATCTATCTACACGGAGCGATTCATGGGCCTCCCAACAAAGGACGATAATCTCGAGCACTATAAAGTAAGCATGTTCTGTTTAATTTAGGTCATTAACTAAGTTCCAGTATGTGCCACATACTTTTGAAGCAGTCATTCAGAGTTTACACTTTTGCTGGGGCCCCAGGCAAATGCGATGATCTTTTGTTAGCTGCAAAACACCTCCCTAGAGAGAAATTTACTCTCTTTGGATTCTCTTCTTTCTTTCCCCATCCTCCCTTCCCTCACCTCCCTTTTCCCCATCGTGCTGCCCACCCCCAACCCCCACACAGCTTGAGCGGGCATCATCTATGCCTAAGGTCTCACTCATATGTAACATATGACACATAAACTTTCCGTTTTTCAAACTAGGAATCAGATGGAAGTAATGCAAATGATGATGAAAATGTGTTGCTCTGACTCTTAAATATTTATCAACCAAAGCAATACATAATTTCAGTATTGGTGCTAAGTCCATCGCACAATGATTTAGCTAGTTTTCTATTAGAACTTGCAGCAACTAAAATGTTAATTTTTCCTCTTTTCCAGAATTCAACTGTGATGGCAAGAGCAGAATATTTCAGAAATGTAGACTATCTTCTCATCCACGGAACAGCAGATGGTGAGGTTTAAGCAAGACTCTTACACATAAAAATACTGAGCCAACATCACTTTGTTTAAGAAACATTAAGCATCCTCCTATGCCTATGCTCAGGGTCAGTACCTAAGAGTCAGGGACATTTCCATAAATGAGTGTGATTACTCACTGCTGACAATGTCAACTGCATGACTAGATAATTGTCGGTGTTCATTTCCAGGCGGTACATTGTCACTCTGTGCTTTCTGGTATTTAGCAGCACTTTAACTCTCTCTCTTTGTTGCAGATAATGTGCACTTTCAAAACTCAGCACAGATTGCTAAAGCTCTGGTTAATGCACAAGTGGATTTCCAGGCAATGGTACATAATTTCGTTTTACTCATGTTCACGGCCTTAGACCCGTAAGCTAAAAGGAAGAATCTTATTTTTTTATTATAATTATTACTTTTTACTGAAACCTGGCAAACTGGCTGTAGGGTAGAGTGGGCAGAGCATTAGCAGATAGGTCTCAGATCTTTCATGAACTCCCTGAAGGACACTAAGCAAGCCATGTCACCTCCGGGGATCCTAGTTGAGTCATATATGAAATAAAGGCATCCGTGAGATGAGCTGATCTTCTAGCTCGAAATCCAATAGTTCTGCGATCCTGCTTACATAAGTGTAGCTACATACTTAGAGTCCCCACAAAGGCCGGGAGACCCAAAGCAGCTAAAAGTCTCTGTTTACTCAGTAAGAAGCAATCATGGAATGTTACCAGAAGCCTCCGAGGCTCCCGGAAGTCAGGCGGCTCCGCTCAGAGAGCCCTTTCGTCTGTGTGTTCTCAGCACCTGACACATGCCTGGCCCAGCACACGAGCTGGTGTTTTCACCGAGCGAAGGAATGAATGAGCTAGCTGTAAAATCAAGGTTGCATGAGGAATAGGAAATGACGGCAGAGAGAAAAGTAAGGTGAAAACCACGGCAAGGGAGACAACCCCTGACAGCTGTTTCCCCCCTTCGGTGAGCATAAGTTCCCCCTCACTTGCTTTTCCTGAATAAGAACCTAGAAAAGGAAACCCTCATTTTGGAAATTTGGTTTTTAAAAATAATTTACAAAAGCGGACGTGAGGTTTTTCTGGTCTTTTTTATTGTGACCCCCCCCACCCTAAATTCACCTGATGAGTATATGGAGCATTCCATCACGACCACGATCTACCTTTATTCAGTGAAAACAATCATCTTACCAGCATCTCCCCAACAATGAAGTTTAAATTTATAATGCCGTCTCCCTGGGTGTTTTTAATGATACTATGTTTAACTCCTATAAAAGGTGTTTACAGTTATATGTGTTGTGGATTTCCTGCAGCAGACAGGAATTGGATTCAGAGGCTAAAAGCCTCGTGGAATTTTTGAGCTAGAAGGAGCCTCAGAGGAAATCAAATCCAACCTCCTCATTTTTCAAATGAAGAAACCAAGCTCCAGAGAAGCAAAGTAATAGACCCAACACACCAGCTCTGGAACCCATGCCTGCCTCCGGATCCCCCCCCCCC